GAAAAGTGGAAAAAACGGAAAACATAACAGTCCAGGCAAATATTACCATCAAAAACCTAGATGCTGGAGAAAGCTATAAATATCTTGGAGTTTATGAAAACCCAGAATTGTGTAATGATGAAATGAAAGAGACCATCAGTAAAGAATATCTAAGAAGGCTTAGGATGGTACTACGTTCAGACTTAACAGCACGAAATAAACTGCTAGCCATCAACAGTATAGCTGTTCCAATAGTAGAATACAGTTTTGGAATCATAGATTGGAGTCAGAAGGAAATTGCAGACCTAGATCGTAAAACAAGGAAGATGCTTACTATTCATGGACAGCTGCATCCTAGAGCTGATGTAGACAGGCTATATGTGAGTCGTAAAGAAGGAGGTAGAGGACTCAGGCAATTAGAGATGACTTATGATAATACAGTTGTATCCATAGCCAATTATTTAAGAAGCCGTAGAAATGATAAGTTAGTTAGACAAATTTGGAGATGTGAAAGGCACCCCGAGTTGGAAAGTCAGTAGTCAAGTCAGCGATAAAAATTGTAAAGACACATTTACCGGAAATAGAAAATCAAGCGGTCGAGGATGAAGAAGAATTACTGTCTACAGATATTAAGGCCATGACAAGGAAGACCTTGAAGGATAAATGGATACGAAAGCAGCTTCATGGTCAATACGTGAAGAGAATTAAGAGGCCAGAGGATTAATGAATGCCAAACGTTGCGTGGCTCACGAGAGGGAAGGTAAAAGGTGAAACAGAGGCCCTGATAACGGCCGCCCAAGACCAGGCCTTACGTACAAGACATTATGAGAAACATATCCTCAAAATAACAGCAAATGATAGATGTCGAATGTGCAAACAATACTCAGAAACAATAGATCATCTTATATCCGGCTGTCCTCAACTGGCGAAGCACGAGTACTTGGTCCGACATAATAAATATGCATATACTTTGCATCATGCCATCTGTATAAGCTTTGGGATCGCAGTGGAAGAAAAATGGTATAATCACAATCCCACTCCAGTAGTTAGTAAAGATGAGATTACCATAATATATGACTTACCATTGCAAACAGATCGTGAAATATCCGCGAACCGCCCAGACATAATCGTCAAAAACCACGTGACAAAACCTGCCTGCTAATAGATGTTTCAGTCCCCAACGATGAAAACGTTGTAAACAAAGAAGCTGAAAAGGAAATTGAAATACAAAGATCTCTCAATTGAAATCCAAAGAATGTGGAATCTGAGGACGAAAGATAGTTCCCGTAATTTTAGGTGCATTAGGGACGATCCCAGACAATCTACATGAAAACCTAAATCTCATACCAGGAAGGCACAGGGACAAGCAGACGTGCAGGAAATTGCTTTGTATGGTACAGCAACCATATTACGTAAGACACTATAAGGTAATGGACTTCGTTAGGATGTGGGTAACATCTTCGAAGTACCATAATGAAAATGACCAACCAAAACCGGCCACATGGACAGAACCAGTTGAATAGATAGGGCTGTGGAAAATAAACAAATAATAATAATAATAATAATAATATAATAATAATAATAAATATAATAATAATAATAATAATAATAATAATAAATAATAATAATAATAATAATAATCATAATAATAATAATAATAATAATAATAATAATAATAATAATAATAATATAATAATAATAATATAATAATAATAAAAATAATAATAATAATAATAATAATAATAATAATAATACTAATAATAATAATAATAAAATAATAATAATAATAATAATATAATAATAATCATAATAATAATAATAATTATATCAATAATAATAATAATAATAATTAATAATTAATAATAATAATAAATATAATAATAATAATAATAATAATACTAATAATAATAAAAATAATAATAATAATAATAATATAATAATATAATAATAATAAAATAATAATAATAATAATAATAATAATAATAATAATAATAATAAAATAATAATAATAATAATAATCATAATACTAATAATAAAAGGTCTGGCGGTAAGGGGACTGCCGCAAGCAGTTTTTCAAACCCGCTAACCGTAACGACGTAGACGGTACAGCAAGCAACGAAACGTCTGGCCTCGACCAAGTGGTTTGAGCTACTGTAATTAAAACCGAGGACAGTCAGTACGGACAGCACAACTCCTGTTTCATCCAGGAGTGGTTTTTGTTCTCTCTTCCACGCATGAGTTTAAACACTTTTAGGTAAACAATTATACCTACTATCAAAAGAGAACACAATTACCCAGAAATGGAGAAAAAAAACAAAATGAAGCCTCGGAATGTAACGACGTAATCGGGACTCGACGCTATGCGACGAGGTCCGCGTCCGGCAGGGAGCGTTAGGGGAAGGTCGCACCCGGTCGTCATCCAGCGAAAGCCCCCCACAGATAGTGTGAGAACGTAACTCGAATGACCCCATCCAACAGCTTCCTGGGGGTCGAAGATGGCAATCATGTTGCTGGAAGCCAAGAGCCCCAGCCCATAATGCCAGGACAATAGGAGGAGAAAAAAGAACCACGTGGACCACTGAAATGAACAGATTTGTGGTTCGCTCCTACTACAGAATAACTAAACTAGAAACATCTACAGAGCCCTATGGTACTGAACTACACAGACAAGTTATCATGAACTTCCCTCACCTGCAAGGCAAAACTGTGCAAAACGTACTAGACCAGCGCCGATCCGTATTCATAAACAACAGATGCCGGCAGAGGAGAATAAACAAAATAAGAGAAGAGATATCCATAGAATTAGGATGCAGATACAAGCTCCGCAAGAGCACACAGAAACCAAGAACCAAATTGAGGATAAACGATGGCCAACCATCTAAATACGCAGATGAGTTCAGGGGCTTGTTCATGAAGTATGATGGTGTGGAACCAACTATTAAACCAAGCCTACCAAAGCTAATAATAAAACCCCATACATCTGAGTATATCGCTGAAGTTAACAAAAGTAATAGATAACGAGATTACAGAAGATACAACCTTGACTGAGCTCCATAGCCTGTTGTACATTGGAGCACTTACAGTCCTAAAATTAAATGAACAGAGAGTTGGCGAACAATGTGTAAGGAAAAACAGAAAACTGCCAGCCTGGGAGATGAGGATATCGCGTAATATAGAGGAGATTAGAAAGGACATAGCAATACTCACCCAGTACCGCAGGTCTGACTGTAGTCTGAGAGTAAAGAGATCCGCAGAGAAATGTGATAAACCGTCACTGCTCGGAAGAGAACCCAACAGCCGTAGAAGTCTTGGACTACCTGAAGCAAAACTAGCAGCTACAGCACTGCGACTTCAAAGGTACAAGAAAGCAACGAACGCCGGAAACAAAAATCGAGCATTCGAGACCAATCAGCGAGGCTTTTACAGGAACTTGCAGGCGCGACGGAGGGATACAGATCAGAACAACGTTTCAGATTCCTACCTCAGATGCCATCAATACCTTCTGGTCAGGAATTTGGAGCAATCCAATCAATCATTCCACATCTAAATGGTACCGCCAAGAGAAAGCAAATAATTCAACTTTTAGGACCATGCTCGACTGGAAAGTAAGCTTAGATGACGTGTAAATACTCTACGAAATTACCAAACTGGAAAGCCCCAGGATCAGATAAGCTTCAGAATTATTGGCTAAAAACGTTCACTTCAGCTCACGATCGACTCGCAAAGTGTACACCTCAATCTTAGAGCAACCGGATATGTTGCCAGAGTTCTTAACAATGGGAATAACATATTTAATCCCAAAGTGCGGCGATCACTCGAACGATCCGGCAAAATACCGACCAATCACCTGTCTGCCGACTATTTACAAGGTATTGACTGCTATAATTACTGAAAAGATATATTCACACCTAGAGCGGAATACTATACTAGACGAAGAGCAAAAAGGTTGCCGAAAAGGGTCTCGAGGCTGAAAGAGCAACTTGTTATAGACTCTGTCATAACTAATTATGCCAAAAAGAAAAAAATACCCCTGTACATTGCATACATCGATTATCAGAAAGCGTTTGACAGTATACCTCACTCTTGGCTGTTAGAGGTGCTTGACCTTTATGGGATCGAGTGCCACATCAAACAATTTCTGGCACATGCTATGGCGAATTGAAGACACGGCTCTATCTCAACACCCAAGATACGCAATTCAGTGCCGGAGAGGTATCCATCAAGAGAGGAATATTTCAAGGAGACTCTTTAAGTCCGCTATGGTTCTGCTTAGCGCTTAGACCGTTAACAACAATCGCTAAATAGCCAAAAGAAAGGAATACTGTTAGGTGGCAATGAAACACGCATTTCACATCTTTGGTACATGGACGACCTCAAACTTTTTGCAGAAACCAAAGAACATCTTCATAAGCTTCTGGACTGTGTAAGTAAATTCAGCACTGACATCAAGATGCTGTTTGGCTTAGACAAGTGCAAGATCAGTTGCATGGTAAAAGGCCAGTGGAGTAAACATTCAGGATATGAGCCGAACCAAGTGCAAGGGAAAATTGAAGGAATGCAGCAAGATGAACAGTATAAATACTTAGGCTATCTACAAGCGCCGGGCATAGACCAGAAAGCTGCAAAAGAAAAGGCAATGGAGCACTATAGAACACGTTTGAGGGCGGTGCTGAAAACAAGTCTGTCAGCTCGTAATACAGCACTTGCTGTCAGCACCTACGCTACTTCGGTCCTTACCTATACGTTTGGCATACTGAACTGGACGGATACAGAACTGAACGCACTTAATGTGGAAACCAGAAAAGAATTCCGTAAACACCGGGGACACCACCCACATAGTTCCATAGAGCGGTTCCATCTACCACGAAGTGAGGGTGGCAGAGGAATACCTTGCATACCTACACTACATCACCGCCAAGTGGACAATCTACGCCAGTACTTCCTCCAAAAAGCCACATCCAGCAGAATGCATCAAGCAATAACACAGACGGATAAAAAGTTGACACCACTAAACCTTTCAGAAAAATCTTTCGACCCTGAGGCAAAGATAACCCCAATGCAGGATCTGGTTCGCCAATGGAAAGCCAAACCACTACATGGTCGGTATAGGAGCCGCATAGAAGACAACGCCATTGACACGAAGGCTTCCCAAGGATGGTTGCAGTCAGGTAATCTGTTCCTGGAGACGGAGGGCTTCATAGCCTCCATCCAGGATCAGGTAGTCCCAACAAAGTTGTACCGAAAGCGTATAATGCATGAGAACGTTGACGATATCAGATGCCGCATATGTGGGGAAAAAGATGAGCACATAGATCATATTGTAGCAGGGTGCTCTCCCTTAGCTCCTAAACAATATCTTGAAAGGCACAATGATGTGGCCAAAATACTTTATCAAGCTTTGGCTAAAAAGCATCTAGGAGAAACTGGTACACAGCCCTACTATAAATACACGCCGCCACCTGTGATAGAAACGGAGACCTCTAGGCTGTACTGGAACCGTAAAATCATAACTGACAGGCCCATCCCCAACAATATTCCTGACATAGTGCTCACACTAAAAGAAGAAAGAACGACGTTTATAATAGACATAGCTGTGCCTCTTCCTACTAATATCCAAACCACCCATGCGGAAAAAATCAATAAGTATTTGCCACTCTCCGACGAAATCAAACGCATGTGGGAAATGGGCAATGTGTCTATAATACCAGTTATAATAGGAGCTACTGGAGAGATACCAAGGAAACTACACAAGAGTCTGGAAAAGCTACAGCTCCATCCAAAAATATACTTGCAACTGCAAAAAGCTGCACTGCTGGGAACATGTAGGACAGTACGTAGGGTTTTAGGAGATGAGAACCGGATACGGTGAAAAGACCGCTGCAGATCTATTTCCTTACTTTGGCTAACCGCCTGAGGGAAATATTAATACCTTCGACAGAGGAGTAAAATAGTATAAAATAATATATAATAATAATAATAATAATAATAATATAATAATAATAATAAAATAATACTCCGCGTGGAGTTGCTAGTCTCCCATCGGGCGCCTCCCTGTGCGAATTGGGAAACGCTCTCCAGATATGGAGGGTACCGGGGAAATTAAATACCCGGGGTGGACAAAAACTAGCATTACCGCTCTATGGGTTAGCACCCCGTAGAACGTGATTCTAACCGCTGTAAAGACGAGAAGGAATACAGTTTTGGGCGTGGCAGAGAATCAGGCTGACTCTGTTCGGAAGCGTCAGGAGGCTATGCCTGTCTTGGGATCCAGTGAAGTAGGTGGCACTGACCCGAGGATTGGACCTACCACCACACAGGCGATGGAAATGGAACAACGATTACATCGAAGCTCTGAAAGTGTTGCCGAGCAAATTGCTCGTCCCACTCAAGAGGATAATAGTCGTAGGAACGGATGAAATGGAGTGATGAAATGAATGAATACCTCTACCGTACCTACCTCAAAATCACCAAAATGGAAACATCAAAGGACCCCTATAGCGTCGAACTCTACCAAACCATGATTGGAAGGTTTCCTGATCTAGCAAGTAAAACACGTCAGAACATATTGGACCAACGACGACATCTCTTTACGACGAACAGGATATCGATAGATTAAAGTGAACCGGATACGAAGAGAAGTGGAGATGGAACTCGGAATAGGACAGGCTGAACCATCACGCGAGCTAGAGGATACAGCAAATACCAGCAGTGAAAGCACAAATATAAGGCAGATAGAAACTGAAGAGAAAACATGTTTTGAAAGGAATTTAATACTGTTCAAAGGCATAGATCCTTTTCTGAGACCAAGACTGCCTCGGTTGAGAACAAATAAGAATACTGTTCATATCTTGAATAGAGTAAATCATCTCATGACGACCAAGTTGTGTGACATAACCGGTATAACTGATTATCATGACCTAATCTATGCCGGCGCTTATACTGTGACTGAACTGCACCATCAAAAGATAAAGCAATCATACAAGCATACTGAACAAAACCCAGATGGCAGATGAGGATCGAAGGGAAAATAAAAGATCTACGAGCAGCTATAGGCCCCCTTGTTCAGTACATCAAGTCAGATGCCCCGTCCAACCGGTTGCGAAATAAAGTCACAACAATAACCCAGAGGACATCATGATGAGGATAATCAAAACCGATACAGATCCTCGATAAGCTCCAACAAAGGTTGTCTGTATACGCAAATCGCCTAAAGCGATATAAAGAGTCGCATCAAAGAAAACTACAAAATAGCATATTTCGAACGAATCAAAAGAGGTTCTATCGCTCACTGGAAAACGAAGATGTAAGTACTACGGTAAAACTCCAGAAGCTAGAGATGCATTAACATATTGGGCTGACCTATGGGAGAACCCTAAGACTCATAATAATAAAACAAGTTGGCTCGCGGACGAAAAGAGGAAAACCGAAAAAATACCCATGATGCACTACAACGTCATAACTGTGGAGGATGTTAAAAGATCTATAAACAACACGCAGAACTGGAAGGCGCCTGGACCTGATGGCATCCATAACTATTGGCTCAAAAGTTCACTTGCACACACGAAACGTTAGCGATGATTTGCACAAGCCTCTTGCAAGACCAGAATCCATTCCAGCATTTCTGACAACGGGAAAACACCTACTTGCTTCCTAAAACATTCCTTCTGTGAGCGACCCATCAAAATACAGGCCAATTACGTGTCTTCCAACCATATATAAAATAATTACTTCAATTTTATGCGATCAAATTTACCAGCACCTTGAAAGGCATCATCTGCTCCCAGAAGAACAGAAAGGCTGCAAAAAGGGAAGTCGTGGCTGCAAAGAGCAACTTACAATAGATACAATCATCACGGAGGGAAGCAAAGGGCTGTAAGAAAGATCTGTATGTTGCATACATTGACTATAAAAAGGCCTTTGACAGTGTTCCTCACTCTCTATTAATTGAAATGCTCCAATATATAAAAATCAGCCCTAGTATAGTGAGATTGCTGCAAAACCTTATGCCTCAATGGAAAACTAATCTTGTAATAACCCATAAAGAAGAAAATATCAACATCGGTGTCATCAGCATTAAAAGAGGTATCTTCCAGGGAGATGCACTAAGTGCTTTATGGTACTGTATTGTATTAGCACCTCTATCTAGAATGCTGCACAAGAAGAACGAAGGTTATAAGCTTCAGAACAACCTACAAATAAGCCATCTAGCTTACATGGATGACATCAAACTAATATCTGCCACTAAGGATGGACTGGACAGGTTGCTTAAAACCATAAAGAAATACAGTGCTGACACAAGAATGGAGTTTGGCCTGGACAAGTGTAAGATTGGGGCTATTAGAAAAGGCATATGGGAAGATCACCCAGGGTTTATGTTGGAGCAGGGTCAGACAATAAGAAGCATGTCTGAGAAAGAGAGCTATACATATTTGGGACTAGATCAAGCAAGGGGTATCAAACACAAAGATATGAAAGAAGCTCTAAAGCAAAGATTAACGAGTAGGGTCAAATCAATACTTAAGACTCATCTGTCCGCAATACACAAAGTAAGGGCCATTAACACATATGCTATTCCGACAATAACATATAGCTTCGGAATAATCAAGTGGACAGACTCTGACTTAGAGCAGCTAAACAGAAACATAAGAGTCTTATTTACAAATCATAGAGCAAGACATCCCAAGAGTTCGATCGAAAGATTCTACTTGCCAAGATCCAAAGGGGGACGAGGCGTGATTGACCTTAAAGCAGCTAACCTGCGGAATATAGAAAACCTCAGGAGATTCTTTTATAGAAAGGGCGAAACATCTGCATATCACAGAAATATAGCTTCAGCTGACTACAAGTTCACACCACTGAACCTGTCGGATGAACAGTATGAACCTCTAACCCATGTGACCACCGACGAACAATGGTATCATCAATGGAAGTCCAAACAGCTTCATGGAAGACATCCAGCCATGCTCAGCTCAGATCACATTGATGCAGAAGCGTCACATGGATGGCTGAAGAGTGGGGAGCTATTTTCGGAAACTGAAGGTTTCATGATTGGCATTCAAGATCAGGTGATACCAACCTTAAACTATAGAAAATACATCATGAAAGAAGAAGGCATTGAAGATAGATGTCGTATATGCCATAACAAGTCGGAAACAATAGAGCATATCCTGACGAGCTGCACTCCCCTAGCTTCCACTGAGTATCTGAAGCGCCACGACAACGTGGCTAAAATAGTTCACCAAGAAATTTGTTATGCTGCGAACATACTAACTGACCGCACCCCATATTACAAGTACCAGCCGACTCCAGTTATAGAAACTAACAGTCATAAAATATACTGGAATAGAACAATTCAAACAGATCACACCATGGAATACAACAAACCAGATATCGTAATTCAAGATAAAATGAAGCAAGTTACCTGCATAATTGACATTAGTGTGCCTGCCCCACATAACATAGCTGAGAAGCAGACAGAAAAGGTTCGCAAGTACTTACCACTAGCTGCAGAAGTAAAAACACTGTGGAATCAAGAAAAAGTTGAAGTCATCCCAATAGTGATCGGAGCCACAGGAGAAATACCTAAGAGTCTACATAAATATATTGAGAAACTAAATCTGCCGCAGAAACTATACCTCTCACTTCAGAAAGCTGCTATCTTAGGTAGTTGTCATATAGCACGCAAGGTCCTGAATGTAGCCACATAGACAAAGAGAAACCAATAGTCACACTCAGACGCTTGCAGTATAATGCCCGTTTGAGGATACCACCTGCAGTAGCAGAGAATAGCTAACAGAAAACGGAATAATAATAATAATAATAATAAATAATAATAATAATAATAATATAATAATAATATATAATAATAAATAATAATATAATAAAATAATAATAATTAATATATAATAATAAAAAAAATAATAATAATAATATAATAATAATAATATAATAATATAATATAATAATAATAAATATAATAATAATAATAATATAATATATATAATAATAATAATAATATAATAATAATAAAATAATAATAAATAATAATATAATAATATAATAAAATAATAAATAATAATAATAAATAATTTAATATAATAATTAATAATAATAAATAATAATAATAATAATTAATAATAATAATAATAATAATAATATAATAACTAATATAATAACTAATAATACTACTCTAATAATAATATAATAATAATAATAATA